CTTGAGCAATTAGATTTTGAAAACCAAACCAATATTACAACAAATATGTCACAACAAATAACACAAATCAAACAAACAACTATCTAAATATGTTTAGCAAGCCTCCTAGCTAAATGAAAATTGTACAAATATATTAAATCACCTGGTTTCAAAAATTTATCACCTGAATTTTTTACCCACCTCATTGGCGAGTAAAAATTGGACGGCTCGAAAACTATTAGATCAATGTCATATTTTTAATTTTAAAGCAATTTTACAAAGTAATAGCTACATTATTCATCCAAGGCAAAATATAATTTTTATGGGTACATTTATTACAGAAATAACACGGTATATAACCCTAATCTGGCATTTTGTCAGAAATATTCATCAGCAGGTTGGAATAGCTATTTATTTAATTTAACTTTTGTTAAATTGCTTTTTTTAACTTAATTTACTTTTTTATTTACTAGTGTTTATGGGTTACACCTTTACTAAAGTACATTTTCAGTACCTTACTGCATCCATGGTAAGAAGGACCGTGGCATCCATAAGCTTTTATAAGCTTTAAGGCATCCATAAGCTTTTATAAGGGTTTTATAAAAAAAAGTATAATCTTACTTGAAAATATTAGTACATTTTAGAATAGAATTAAATAACATCTACTTAAAAATTATATTAAAATCTCGAAAGAAAATACTTTCGTTTTGGATTTTCAAACATTGCCGTTATCTCCCGATTACGTCGTAAGAATCGAGGTGGTTGCTAGTTCAAATGCATTTTTTGTCCTTCTACATTCAAATATTGTTTTTTTTAAAAAAAACTTACCTTTACTTGCCTTTGAGATATCGTTATTAGACCTTTTTACCCACATACCTTTAAGTCCTGCTTCACCCTATATCTTTTAAATAACATAATTTATCATCAAAATAGAAAAATGTGAAAATGTATAAAAAATCTTAATTAGTAACCAAGAATGCTTCGTAGTGCCCATTGATTATTCTACATATCTTAATGACTTGCAAAGTAAGATTATTTAACATTTTATAGATCAGCTTCCTGAATAATAAATAACACCTTGCGAATACTCTTTCTTGAACCTTAGTGCTATTTTAATATCCAATATAATTAATTATGACGCAAATCACTGGACGAATTCGCCAAATTATAAAACATAAAAAATATGCCAAAAAACTGTAATAATGCAGCCATATGATTAATGAACCCGCTTTTAAAGAAAAAAAAATAAACCGGTATAATTAGATTTAAGGGGAACCACATATTTTTTATATTTTTGCTATATTAACATAATTATCTTTTTTCAAATACGTAAATTCACGGTTAATTAAGTCTTTCTCTTACGCAAACGGATCGTTGTTAGTTCTGGATATTGTATGAGACCAATTATTATTCATTTGGTTTTTTCGTTTCGTGTTTGTTTAGATTATGATTTTATCTAACGCGGAATAAGCTCCAAGTTCTTAGTTTTTACACCATTTGTGACGTAGGAATTTGTCTCAAGGACGATCGGCAGAAGCTTCTTGATATGCAATGACAACTTTTTAGGCTCTTTTTATAATTTGTTAACGATTAATAAAAATAGACATAAGATTACCACAAAAGGTGTTAGTAAATTTTTGATATCAAGTAGTAGTATTGCCCATTTCCAAGTAAAAAAGTAGATCAGTATATGTCAAAATCCGCTATTTTCAGCATTGCTGTAATAAGTTAACGTACATCAACATTAATATAAAAAACAACCACTGGTATGCCTTTTATTATAAAATTAAACAAATGGATAGGCAACCATGAGTTGCAAAAAATACCATCTCAATATATTATAAAACTGATAGGTTTTCAAAAACGACGAAAAAATCATCACAAATGTAGTGTTTATTCCGTAAGTAAGGTATGGGAGTCTTGGAGTACTCTTGAATTGATAAACAGATTTATAGCTCTACCTAATTATTTTTTGCAAACTATTCGATATCGATTACAATTTAAATTCACTACGATATTTATAATGCAAACGTGCAAAGATAAAACTGGATAATTGTTTTTTTTTTAACTTTATACATTAATAGAACCAATAAGTCCACAATCATCTATTAATATAAAAATTTTCATTATAAATTTAAAAACGAAGTGTTCTACATAAATATTTTTAGTAGTATAGTATTTATAAAATGAGTGAATAACTAAAAATAATAAAACTAATAAAAAATAATAATATAATATAATACTAATAAATGTAAATAATAAAATAAAATAGTAAAACATTTTCTAAGATTAATAAATAACACAGAGCAAGCACTACTTAGTGTTTCCCAGTAACTTTATTCATTTATAAATTTTTGGGTGTTTTTAAAATTTGGTATTCCTTCTGCTTCAATTATACTTGCAACAAATGATTTGATTACCTTAATGAAGAACACGTGAACTTCAATGCAACAATTCAGTGGAATCTTACAAACAACTTACATAAATCATTGCAAGTGCTATTAATTTTATTTATTACAGTTAAGACTTAACGCGTTTTTTCCAGAATAAACAATTTTTTCACTAAAACTTTGAAAATATACTCAGGAAAATTACAAAAGCTAAGAAGTGATTAAAATTAAAAAAAACTTCATGTACATTTGTCTCGTCATAAGACAAAAAATCAGGTTCAACTAGCATAAAATTGCAATGCAAGATTTTTTATATGACATTTGTAATTTACATGTTAATTAACAAGATTATGTTCAACACAGTAAATAAGCAATTTATAAATCAAACAGTAACAGGAATTCTTAAGTTATATCAACTTGTTCTAGTATTTACTTAATGCCATCATATATAAAGTAAGTAGTAATGTTTCTGAAAATTTCGAGAAAGGTAGTAGGCGTCCAAATGGTATTATAAATATAATAAAAAATATATGTTTTATATTGCATTTTTTAAGAACTCTTTCAATAAGATTTTTTATTTAAATTCCTTATTATACGATTATAGAGTATTGGACAATATCAAAAAAAAAACTGCAAGGTTTAAAGTAAGGATGAAAATTATACTTGATTATCTAGGTGAAAAAATAATGGAAATTGAAAACTAAAACAAAATTTTAACTAGTGGGGTGGGTGGCATCGTGCCTTAAGGCAAATTGCTGGAACTTCCCGTACCGTAACAAAATGTTCGAGGAATATTGAATGTTTTCAAATAGATTATTATAAATATTGTAACATTTTCTAATATTTATAAGAATTATATCAACTGACTTGCAGAGTTGAAATTGTTTATTTAAAGTATATTAGAACTATAGTCAGAATTAAAAATAAAATCTGAATTATTTTCGATATACAAAAAATTAAAAAAAAAAAAAAAATGGAACAAATTTTTTTTTCTCCCAAAATCAATTATTTTGTTAAGACAAGCAGAAAGTTCTTTGAATCAATTGAATCGGACGCTTAGTTCTCTCAAAAAACTGACTTTTAGTTCTCTCAAAATGGCTGGGCCTGCCTTTGCAAAGAACTAATAACCCCTTCTCCCAATCATTACTAATTGAATGTTTTTTAGATCTTACAAATCGGATGCTCCGTTCTCTCAAAAACTCGATTTTTATTTTCTGCATTCTTTGCTCCGTATCTCCGAAACTGTTGGACCTGCCTTTGTCAAAAACTAACCTGCACATCTCCCTATCAATGGGAATCGAATGTTTTTTGAACCATTCAAATCGGTTGATCCGTGCGCCCGAAAACGTGCACGAAAATTTGTATCCATACATACATACGCATACACACACACAGATCGATTTTTTTTTAGGTATGCCAAAATGTTCAGAAACCTTCAAAGCGTCGAGAAATGTAAAAATTTTCAATTCCGATTTTCGGCCCATTACAATAACTTACCCTACGGGAAGTTAATAATATTGTTACATACTTTTAAAATATGGTTCAAATCTACTTTTCATTTTGTTCCATTAATGTATAATTAAAAGTTTTTTTTCTTGATATGAGCAAGAACTTCTATATGCAGACTTTCTAGGCTAATGTCATTCTCCATGACATTTTTCGGTACCACCGTTTTAACAATAAGCATATATCTCTAATAAGCCCTAAGTTATAAAATTGGAAATATGATAGAAAACTCAATATGTTGATACAACTCAAAAGTAATAAGACATTGATACATGTTTCAAAATATATGTCTATTATCTTATTCATCCAACTGAATCGTTCATCTACACGCCCACAATATGCTTACGTGTTGTATATCAGCCAGTACACCGGCAAATAATAAATTTTATAGTGCGGTAATCATTTCCACAATGAGCATTTTTTTCCAAGAAATTTTTAAACGGAATAGGTTTCAACATGTTCAAAATATAAAATTCAAAGCAAGTAGGTATATCATATTTTATTGTTGTTGAAGGAAATAATTAAACTAATGCTCAAACTGGAGGTTGTTGATGCACTCAATTCCTGTTCTATTGCTTTGGATTTTGAATTAAATCATATATCGTATTTTTGCAATTTTATTTTTGTCGCAAACAACTGTAACTATAAATGTACTTCATGTTGATTGTATATAATAGTCTTACTTGAAATAAAATTAAACTAGTTTGATTAACATTTTGCCTTAAGTTAATCAATAAGAACTAGAATTAGCTTTTCAAATATAATGTTCAACTCGGCAAAAATCTAAATTTTGAATAATTTTTATAATTCGAAGCTTACTGTAGGCTTATAATATTTCAGTATGTTATTTTAGTCTATAAAATCGATTGTTACACAAAGTTTCATCGAAACCGTCAAAAAAATTTTTTTCGACATTTAGTTACGGAAAACCAATCTTGATAAGAATAAATTAACCAATTCCCAACCAATACTTCTAGAACAATTTTTGAAT